TGGCCCGGCTTCCTGCTGTACTTTGCTGATGAGGACCTTAACGCATCATGCTCAGGGGTGCAGCTCAGACACTGCTTGTCCCCAGGCTGCTGGGACCTTCTTGCAGAGAAGGCAGTCTTGTTGGTTGACCTGCAGGACAGCTTGATCCCTGTTTCTTTCTATGGTGAATGTGATCTTGGAGAAACATGAAATCCTTGCTACACCACAGTAGACATAGCGGTATTTCTCTATGTTGAATCCCGCTTCTTCTACCATGTTCTGTACTTCTTTCTTCTTTGGTCCCAATATCACAGGTCAAGTCTGTGGCTTAAGAAAAGATATACTATTAGTCTTACTTTCTTGCTATCTGTGCTAATTTTATGTGTCATCACTTGATTTTGTATGAAGAAAACATAAATATGGGAGATGAATTGCTTTCCCTTCAGACCACGCACTTCTCTACTGCAGATATGTGACTTCCTGTGTTCTCTCTGTTTAAACCTTGGGGTCTGGAAGCAGGTAGCCTTAGCAGGGCCATTTGAAATTTCTCAAGGATGTTAGAATGCCAAGTTTCATCCACCAGTAGTATTGAACTTGGGGGTTTGGTGACAGCAGAAAGAAAACCATTTAATAAGATGGGAAAAACCTATGGATTTCTGAACAAAAAAACAAAATATTAAAATAAAAACATGCTTTCAATTGATAAACATATATTTTATAAAATACATGTTCTTATATATATTTTATAAAATATGTTTATCAAAAATATACATTTTAGAAAATATATGTTTATCAATGCAATATATGGTTATTTATAAAATATATTTATCAATAAGGTAGCTATATATATATATATATATATACATACATATGCATATCTGGCTACTTTTTAAAAAAAGTGAAATAAAGTCTCAACATTGTATTTCATTTTAATAAACTTTCAGGAAATGATGACATCTCCCCCATCACTGGCCTCCCAAGGTGTAATGTAGCGGGGGTGCCCATGCTGGAAGTGCTATGATCTTCCTGTTGGTAGGCCCAAGAGGGCTGTCTGAGACACACCTCTGCATCCCCTCTGAAAGCTTGGGATTCAGCTTGGAGGTCGGAGTTGCTGGTGCTTGTGCTTTTATTCCTTGACATTCCAAGCTCGAGAGGGGAATGAGGATACATGTAGGCTCCCCGGGATGATTTCATAGTTCTTTCCAATTCAGAATTTTATTATTATTCTCACACAAAGAGGGGGAGAAAACAAGGAGAGACAAAGGAAAAACCTGCTCTAAAGCCTTTCTCAACACCTCTCTTCTTCCCCAGCAGAGCTGCTCTCCTTTTTCTGCCCCTGCACTGGCACTCAAAATTCTTTCTGTCAGTTAAAGGATTCTATAATATGCGGCCCTAGATAGTGAGATTTTGGGGAGCATCTGTTTCATCTTGTTTGCCATTGCATTTTAGGCGGCAGTGGAAGAGGCCATTGCAAGCCTTAAGACTTGATGTGTAAAGCAATGAAAGAATGAATACAGAACACAAAGAATGATGCAAAGAACAAGTTAGAAACTCATTACCTCAGAGTAAGTGGTTAAAACAACACAAATTTATTATCTTGAAGTTCTGGAGATGAGAAGCCCCAAACTCAGGAGATCAGCAGGGTCACATTCCCACTGAAGGCTCAAGAGAAGAATCTGTCTTCTTGCCATTTTTAGCTTTTTGAAGCAGCTGGTAGGTTCTTCTTCCTCCAAAGCCAGATTCATATCTCTTCCTCTCTGATCTCTGCCCTCCGCATCTTCCTGCCTGCCTCCTATGAAGATCCTGTGATTTCATTGGTCCCACCCCAATAATTTTAATTTCAAAATCCTTCACTTCACCAACCACATCCTGAAGGTCCAACTTTGCAGTGCCATCACAGGTTTTGGAGATGAAGATGTGACCATTTTGGAGTACCACTCTTCAGCTACCATATGGACCTTTGCAGGACGTTTTATTTATGTGTTTATTTTTTGTATCAGGAATTGAACTTATGACATTGTACTTGCCAGGCAGGCTTTGTGCCCCTGAGCTTTGTGCCCCACATCTTTTGCAGGATTTTAAGCCTTCATTCCGGTATCATACTAACAATAGAAGTGAGAACCATTTTGGGTTGGGCTCTAATTTGCCAGTACTCTCTACAACCTTCCATTACCCTACCCTCCCTTTAGAGAAGGTTCATTTGGCTACTTTCAAAACTGTTTCCGTTTCCTGTGCAACTGCCTGTAGATGCTAACTACTCAGGTTATGGTAACTGTGCGCTACTAGCTTCATCTCACGCAGCTAAACACCTCCTCTGTCTCTGAGGTGGTATACTCAGGGACCAAAAAAGTAATAAATTACAACATTCTCACCATAATTGAAATGTTCATTCAGTTGAAAGACAAACCACTCTAGCAACGTGGATCGGTCATTTTTATTATTTTGGTGCCAATTGTGTTGACCTAACATGATTTGTGCAAAATGCTGTGTGAAGAAAAGTAATTTCTTAAGCTTTCTGTGGATTTTCCACCCTCCCTTTCTCCTACCTGTGTTTTACTTTTACTGTTTTGCCTCACAGTTACACCTCACTGTAGGAAGCTTAGCTAGCCATCACCAAGCTTCATGTTCCACTGCTCTACTCAGAGGGTTGTGTCCACATTCTCACATGCTCAGAGTTGGAATCAATTCCCTTCTGTTTTATCTTTGCCATAAATCTTTCAGCTTGTGTGTGTGTGTGTGTGTGTGTGTGTCTCTGCATGCGCATGTGCATTTTAAGCACATGAGACCTCAAGGGCATATCCACATATAAAATATACCTCTAAAGAGCAAATATCCCACTACCATAAGCATGATGATTTCCTTGTATTCTCTTCTGCCCGTATAATCCATTCTCCAACCAGCAGTCAGAGTAAGTTTTAGAGACCTGAGCTAAACTGTCTCATGATTTCATTGTGCTTAGAGTGATACCTGTTCCACTTACTGAGTTACCAGTCTTTCCCCACCCTGATCACTGCCTCCTCCTTCAACCTCATCTCTTTCTGCTGTCCTCTGCCTTCCTTGGCCTCAGTCCTTTGCTTTCTCTGTGCTCTTCCACTGCTGTCAAACTTCTTCCCACTGGAGGCACATTGTTTGTGACTGGACTCCTGGAGACTTGCCCTGTTTGCCTCCAGATTGAAGTATTGTAATTTCTTTGTGTTATGGAAATGATGTAGTCACCCAAGTGCTTTGGGTTCTTTCTGGGGCCTTTGGCACATGCATAAAAGCCAAAGTCTTGGTTTTTGGTTTTGTTTTCTAATCAAAGTTCTTATTTTTTTGGCACTGAAAATACAAGCTCATTAGTGACTTTGGGGTATTGAAATTACTAAAGGCAACACAAGAGCAGAGCTCTGAATGAAATTCAATGATACCCATGCAGTTGTATTGAGACTTATTTTCTGGCTTGCTGTTAGTTATTTTTCTTTATACTCCCTTATTTGTTGCAGAGACTTGTTACATTGTTGTAAGTGTTTATATCTACTTATTAGAGTGATTACTTTGCATTTATGTCTCAGCAGTATGCATCCTGTAAGTCACACAAAATGTTAGCTATTCAAGATGACTGCTGGGCTTCAGTTAATTAAAAATACAGAAGAAGCTGAATCTTTTTTTTTTTTTTTTTTTTTTTTTGTCTTTTTCATTTTTATCGGTACCGGGGATCGAACTCACGACCGCCTGCTTGCAAGGCAGGTGCTTATGCCGCTGAGCTAAACCCCCAGCCCCAAGAAGCTGAATCTTATTGTGGGTGTAGTATCAGGCTTTATTTTGACAGGATATATGTGTGTGTATATGTGTATATATATATATATATATATATATATATATATGTATATATATTGCAGTGGAAAGTGCAACTCTCTCTGTGTCTCTGTTTCTTTCTCTGTCTCTTGCTCTCTGTCTCTTGCTCTGCCTCTCTCTCTCTCTCTGTCTTTCTGTGTCTCTGTCTCTGTTTCTCCTTCTCTCTCCCATAATTGAAAAAGAAGCAAAACATTGTATCTGGATAGAGCCACATGCTGGAATGCCAGTTGCTAATTCTTATACTGCAGAGGAAATGAATTGTGTTTCTTTATGTGTCCCCTTTTCATAAATATATATGCCAGCAAGTGCTAGGCAGAAAGTAAATTTTTGTGTCAATTCAAAATTCCGTTTCCCTGTGATCCTTCTCTTTCCTCGCACCCTCTTCGCTTTTCTCCTCAGTGAAGGACAGGGTTAGCAGCAGCACTTGAATTAGCTTAATTTATTTTTCTGTGAGTTTGCAGAATGGTTCAAGGTCCATAGCAAGGTGAATCTTTCTCAAACTATGTATGCGTTGCATCCTCAGACAGTAGAGATCACCCAAGGGTAAACGTCGTGACTGTGGGGAACCATTAGGATCCCCTCCTTCTTTCTCCATAAAAAGACAAGTCACAGAAATGCTTACTGCAAAAAGCATGAAATTGGGCTTTAACCATGTACTTGGAGGCAATTTTAACATACGTGTTTTAGGGAGCTAATATATGATAGTAGACATGTTTAAACTTGCTTGGATGGGCTCATAACATTTAATTAATATTTGTGATCATCAGTGGGTAACACATTTTCTAAGAATGGTAGAATTATGCTGTCTACATTAAAGTATTTTTTAAAAAAATCCTCATCTTTTAATTGCTCTACAAATAGTTTTTGAAAGTAAATTAAAGCTCATTCAAATTTTTGTTACAACAAAAGCGTTTTCTACTCTTATACCTTCACCTCCATGAAAAAAAATGAGATAATTAAGGTTTCAAGAAAAAATTTCAAAGTATTTAAAGGCTTTTTTCCATTTGAATATTAGGATGTGGAAAACATTGTCTGGATTTCCTGCACGAATGGTTGTCAAGTTGGATGGTTCTACTTGATGAGCTTCCACAGGGGTGAATCTTCCTTTTCTGTTGAATTTGTGTCAAAAATGAATCTTTGACCCCATTTGATGTCTAAGAAGTTTATTCTGGGAGTGCCCTTGCAAGACGGACAGCAGCAGTATTCTGTCCTCTAAAGACCAATCTTAGAGTTTGGGAAATTCTTCCCCTTTTCTGAAAACCACTTAAGAAGTTAAGTTACCAGACTTTTTTGTGAAGGGACCATAAACTGTTCTTTAAAGACGAGCTTTGTCTTCATACTCATGAGAGTTGTATCTTTACTGAGGCAACCTCATTTGGGGCAACAAAGAATTTTAGGTTCCATTCATTCATTGAGACCCAGTAATTCCCAGGGCTGGGGTGGAAGACCCTGGGGGCAGGTTATATAGTGTTGCTCAATGACATATAGTGTAGGCCATGCAGTATGTTCAGTAGGTCTTGAGATCATTAACCTTATAGTCATTCTATTGCTCTTATAGTTTATTATAGTATAATAGTGTGACTGAACAGATAGTATTACCATTGACAAGTAGAGAACTATAAGAAGAGAAAGACTTGTATAAACCAATCACTTTCAGGGTGTAGTTTGTAGATCGCTGTATTGGAGATGCACAACAGACAATTTACATATGTGCCTAACTAATGAGGATGGTCATTCATCTGTAGTGCCAAAGTCAACACACCTAATTGACCAGATCATAGTACTTCTCTCTGTCCCACGCTGCATTATATAACCCATCCAGAGTTGTGAAAGAGAATGGCCTTACCTGAAATACAACACTTTCGTAGGTCAAAGATCCTTATGGAATGGCAGAAAATGTTTGCTAACTTCTATATCCGATAAAGGATTATTATGCAAAACATATATGAAATTCAAAAATCCCAATAGCAAGACAACTGGCAAAGGACCCAAATAGATATTTTCCAGAAGCAAATATGCAGTTAGTGTATGAGGAGCTGGGCATATAGCTCAGTGGCACAGCACCTGCCTGCCAAGTATGAAGTTCTGAGTTCAACTCCTGGTGCAAAAAAAAAAAAAAAAAAAAAAAAAAAAAAAAAAAAAAAAAAAAAGAATAAATGCTAAAAAAGTCACTAGTCATCAGAGAAATGCAAGTAAAAGCCTTAATATGATGTCATCGCATGTCTGTTTGAATGCAGATATCAAAAATATGAAGCATAACAGTACTGGAAAGGAGAGAGAGAAAGAAGAATCCTTGTGTACTATTGGTAGGAATATAAATTTGTACCCCTACTATGGAAAAACAACATGGAATTTGCTAAAAATTATACATAATTAAAATTATTATATTATTATATGATCCAACATTCCCAATACTGGGTATACATCCAAAGGAATTTAAATCAGGAGGTAAAAGAGCCATTTGATTTCAGAATTATTTATTGCAGTATTACTCACAGTAGTCAAGGCAGGAAATCAACCAAAGTAATCACTAACATACAAGTGGATAAAGATGATGTGGCATATGTATGTAATAGAGTACTATTCATTCTTTAAAAAAAAGAAATCCTGCCATTTGCAACAACATGGGTAAACATGGAGGACATGACATTTAAACATGGAGGACAGACAGTGAAAGATGAATTCCCTCATGATCTCATGTGCATGTGAAATCTAAAAGTGTTTGCATCACAGAATTAGAGCATCTAATTGAGGTTACCAAAAAGTAGGGATTGAGACTTGGGAAAGATGTTGGTCAAAGGATACAAGATTTCAGTAACATAGTAGAAATAACATGAAGACATCTATTGCACAACATGTTGACTATCATTTATCAATACTATATTCTAGAAAATTATTAGAATAAGTTTTAAGTGTTCTTGTCGCAAAGGTAATGTAAGTCAATTAGTTTGATTTAGCCATTTTGAAAAAGTATACATATTCTAGAACAATGTACTATATCCAATAAATACATACACATTTATTTTTCAGTTAGAAAAAGTTCTAGTCATCTGTTTGAGCCACCACAATGAGTTTCTGAAAGCAACTGGTCAGTAACTCATAACTGGGAATTTATGTCTAGGAATTGTCTTAGACACAGTTGTACCGGGTGGTGGGCAGCCAAAGAACAACTAGCAAACAATAGTGAATTCCACTTATCCTCAAGAAGATACGAGAGAAGTGTGGGGAATGATATATCTGAGCTAATTCTTCCTCCTACCTTTTTTTCTTGTTTCCTCATGGCCTATAGATGCTCAGAATGAATGCTATGTTCAGCAGCAAATCATGATGAGTAATCATCCCTGCTGCAGAAGACTGTAATAAGTACAATATGGATAATTATTTCTCTCATATACACTTTTACAAGGAGGAATATTTCATAAGAGTGCAGTTTTCATGGGTGGCTGACAGTGGGAAGAGAGGTCCAGATCATTGTGTGGGATGATACAAATAAGTGTCTTCGAAAAGTGCATTGGATGATTGGGAAGCAGAATAAAATAAAAAGATAAAGAATAGTCATGGCTAGATTATGAATATGACTCTAGAACATTTTTCTAGTGTCAAGTTTTTGGCTTATAGATGTTTTTGATTTTCTATTGAAGAAATTCCAACATTTTTTATTCTATTGTGAAAACTCAATAACCTTATCCTGGGCAAGAAACTATATTTAAAGTCTTATATTTTTGAAAATATGTCTAAGCATGTCCTTTTGAAATTGTTAGCATAACACTGTCTGAGTAATAGAGGTTTGTTATTTTTATGATTTTTAATGTTTTAAAGAATATTACATATAGTTTCAAAATACTTTAACATATATGCATATAGAGTTAAATATATTGTTAACATATAAACTTATATTTGTGCATTTCTTAATTAAACTATCAAGTATTTTAAGAGTCATTGTTGAGTTTTTAAAATCATTAGTTTAGTACTTAGACTTTTAAAACTGATTATGCTATTTATTTTCCAGCTTATTATAGTAATATTTCACACTTTATTAATTTGTCCATTTTCAGTAGCTGATTCTAGTGTTCATGGAGTTAGCACCAGAAAAATGCAAAATCCACTCTCTCTCTGATGTTGGATTTTTTAAACACAAATATTGATGTTTGAATTTAACCAAGATAAAAACAAAAGTTTTAATCATTTTATGTTTGGCTAGTATTTCAAATTGTACACAATTTTTTAGTGTATTTTATTATTCTTAAAGAGCATTTCAGCAGAATGATAAAGCCATTTTAATGTTTATCTATGCATACATACATATTTATATGCATATATATTTAATTACAGAGATATCCCTGAGCCCATAAAGCATGACAGCAAAGCAGGTCAATTTCTTAAACAACAGTATTTCATTCAGTACCTTGGTGGTTGTAATTAACGTTTCTGTTTAGTTCTAATTATAGTTTTTGTATCACAGCCATTATGCTAATGGTGTTATTCAGTAGTATGTGAGATTGCATTCATTATCACTGGTGAATTAAACCTTTATTAAAGAAAAATTCCCGCAGGCCTCATTCTAGAGTTAAGTAATTATTCATTTGGTTTTATCCTAGCAATTAGCTTATATACTGTAGCACTCATTATTGAGTTTCTATACCTCACTGAATGAGATTAACCCACCATGGTAAATAAATGCCTAACAGCTCCCAAGCTCACAATGTGTTGCTTTTTAAGCATATTATTATGTAACAAAATAAGGAATCAGAATGCATTGAAGCAACATTCTGGCTTCCAACAAATAATGTACTTGCTGGGAAGACTATGCTGGACATTTTGCATTTAATTCAGAATTTGAAAAAAAAATTGCAATTGAAGTCCTCCAACGCCAAATTCACCTTTGTGGGTGTGTGTCTGCCTTTGTTTAATTCCATTCCATTGCTTGTTTGCTTGTTCAATTATGTTACTATGCCCATTTCATCTCAATAATAGCCTTTTTCAATAGCCTTTGAGGAGACTTTCCAGTAGATCTCCATTCCAAACATGTTTGGAGAGGGTTTGATTCTAGATGGTATCTGGGTCATTCATTAAAAATCACTAATTTTGTTGATCACACTTTCAGTAGGAATTATTTAAATTGCTGGTCTGTTTTTACATAGTCAACAATGTGATTGGAAGGCCAACATTCCTACTGTCACAAAAAGCTACTAAGTCATCCTTACTGCACAAAAAGCTACAAAGGTTTTCAGGTTTTCAAATGCATTATCAGTTTGTTACCTTTGTCAACATCATTTTTTTTTTTTTGTCCTGGGGAATTTCCTACCTACTGTACCTCCTCACTTTTGTTTAGAGTCAGTTGTAATTTAAAGTACAAAATATCTACACCTTTTGAAGGAGAAAGTTATCACCTTTATATACTTCAATGTCGAATGTACTGTATGGGTATAAACAGAAGCATAAAATATGTTATCATGGCAATGATATATCTGAAAAGATAATATAATAGCTATTTTTTACTAGATTTATTATTAAATAGCTGTAAGAAAAGTTAATATATTTATTCATGAGTAATATACTTATTCCTGAGTTTATTTATAGTGGACATTTTTCATCTTAGTACATACATAGAGATTTTTAACAGCATAATACTAATACATTATTATGTACTTTTATAGACAGGATTAAGAATGAAATATAATAAAATATCCTTCAAGAATAGACATGCCTACTTAAATATCTTTGAAGACAATACAATTGGTAAATCATGGTAATTATTGTGGATATACTAATGGCATATTGACAATTTTTATAATATTTAAAAAGAAGAATCCTTACTTATCGAGAGTGATAAAAATTCTCTAAAGTCTAACAGTGGCCTCTAATTGCAGGTGCATTATTGTTTGTACTGTACTTTATTTACATATTTATTCATACTTTATAGATATCTAGATCATATGTGCTAAGCCCTTAGAACAGTGAGTGGCATATTATAAATACTCCCATTATAATAGAGGTTAATAATAATTTTAATTTTAAATTTTAAATGATGTGCTGAAGATATCATAATATAGACCATGTGGCCGAGCCAGTCTGTGACATGTGCCCCATATGGTAGTGTTTTTTTCCTGTATAGATAATACCAAGCCAATTAGAGGGAACATTTTTGAAAATACACAGCTAATTTTTTTGAATGTGTATTACATACCTAAGCACTTTTGTAGTGAG